CTGCCAGCACTTAACTCTTTTTCTTTGCTATCTATTGTTTATTATATTTTGCACTGTTTTATTATTGATTATGTTATGGTTTTGTATTTTACTGAGTATATGTCTGTTGGTAGCCGCCCAGAGTGGTAGAATATACCAGATGGGCGGGATATAAATCAAATCAAATAGAATCAAAGACAAGGAATGAATGAATGAATGAATGAATGAATGAAGAAAGAAAGAAAGAAAGACAGTATATTAAAGAAGAAAAATCACAACAAAAATAAGAAATTTGTTTCCTTTCATTTATTTCTTGCCTTTTCCCCAAAGGTAGCATAAAAAGGATAACAGCATTAAAAGTCCTAATGAAAATTTCAAGACAGAATAAAACTAAAAAGCAGCTAAGTAATTGTAACACAGTTATCAGAAAAGCACATCGATTAAAAATACAGCATTTAACAGATCAATGCGCCAGTCACCCAACTACCACAAGACCATCTGAATAAATAGAAAGGTTTTCACCCACCAACAAAAGGACCTGGGCAAGATCTTCTGCTTGGGGTTCCCTTCCTTCCAACCTCCGCAACTGGAGAACCATTAATGCTTGAGAAGTCAAGAACAATTTCACACGTTGGTATCCCGACTGGGGTCCATCAGAGTCCAACCGGAGTCCAATTTGCTTGGAAAAGGCCAAGCCAGGGGCTTTTTCTTGGTCCATGTGAGGACAAATGGAGGGAGGGGACTAGCACATCACAAGATGGTAGGAAAGGAAGGAGGAACAATGGCTTTCCTCCATCCCTTCCTCTTGCTCCCCCTTCTACCCTCCCCACCTCCCCTTTCCCTCTTTTCTCTTCCTTTTCCTCCCCTTTCCTTTTGACACTGCCAAGGCTACCCTAAGAGCACTGGAAGAGCTAACAGGAAATGGAGGAGGAAGAGGGGAAGAGCCAAGGGAAACATCGAAAACGGAGGTGGGCAGAGCCCTCCTTCCTTCTCTGCCATTGCATCCAGCACTCTCCCTGGAACCCAGCAGCTGCAGCTATCAGGCAAGGGTTTCTAGGGTTCCACAGGTTGGGGGATGAGATGGGGCTTGCAAGGGAGAACATGGGGGCTTGGGGAAGGCTCTGGTACACCTGCCAATTTGTATCACTGCATCCGGGGACATTTTTCCCCTCATTTCCAAGGGTCTTTGGTTCAAGGATCCAAGTGACTGAAAAGATTTCAGCCTGAAAACTTGGAGCCCTCCCCCCCCCCATTTAATCTCAGGGCAAGGGAAGAGAGAGAGATGGATCTGCTGGGAATGCAGTGGATCCTGGCACACCCTTACTTAGTGTTTTATAGGGGTCAGTGCACTTTGGAGGGAGGGAGACCATAAGATTGCAATCCGGACACAAACAATATTTTGTGCCAAAAACAACTGAAATTCTCTCATCAGAGCTGATCTGACCGGTGGCTGAGAGCACAGGAAGGTCCAACGTGTTCTTCAAGGAGCCCTGGGGGGAATTGGTCAAAGAGGGGGATTTTTCTCCACTAAAGATGGGTCCATTCCACAGCCTTGCAGGATAGTGAAATGTTAAACATCCAGAGAGTTTGGAATTTTTTAAATGGAATATTAGCTCATGTTATGATGTCTGAGAGAGGGGGGAGCTCATCATTGCCTGCCTGCCAGTGGGCAGGGGATGGGGCCAGCCTGGAAGGAGTCAAGGAGCCATGGAAATGAAATGGGAATCAGAAGGACACCTGAAGTCATGAGCCAAGAAAAGCTCTTCAGACAGGCTCATGTTCGGTGAGGGGGTGCCTACCTTGGCTATTTATCCTGCAATTTGCAATGTATTAGGCCCAGATGAATTTGAATTACTACATAGTGACTACAAGAGGCAAAACTCAATGTGGGGAAGGCCATTGTGGAATCATCTCTTTTGAGTGGGGAACCATCTGTTTTTGTAAAGCTAGCAAACATGTTTTAAATGTACCTGAGTCAGGTTGACATGATTTTTCCTTTGCTTTCTGCCCAGTAAGATTGTTGATCGGCAGGCAAAGGGGCTGCTGCTTGGGCTGTTCCCCTCAGCTGAGCACCTGTTGTCTTCAAGCAGGGAGTGTGTTTTGTTTTAAAGAGTTTCAAGGCAACCCTGGAACACTGTATAACTAGGTCACTGGAGGAAAAGTAAATTTTAAAAAGGAGGTGAAAACTAAGAATTTGCATCTTGTTAAAGGCAGTGCAAAACACACCCCTTCACCCATGTTGATTCCTGCAATTTGTTCTGTGTCTGGCTGGCTATTTCACCCATGGAAATCTGATCTGAAAAAAAAAATCAGATCACAGTACATCAAAGCATATGCTCCTGCCTGTGTAGTCACACTTAGGAATCCATTGTCAGAACGTTTACATCACTTGTATTCTATATTTAAAAGTTGCTTCTCCTTTTGTGTTGCTGATTACTATATTTTATTTTATTACCTTTAAAAAATGACTTCATTTTCCCAATGAGGAGGACAACATGCTCATAATCTCTTTAAAATGTTGTGAGGGTACATAAAAGTCTGTTTTAGATTCTGCCTGGATTCTGTGTGTGGATGCCTGGACCTCATTTGTAGTTTATTCAAGCCACCAAAAGGCTATCATTGGCCCTGGGGTCAAAGCAGAATTTTAAATAGGCTGAAGGAACAAAATGAGCATCCTAAGTACCCTCTCAAATGCTGGAATATCTATTAGGTTGGCTACTTTTTCCTGAGAGCAAGAAGAAGGTAGGAGGCATGTCAATACAATGGGAATCAAGATGGGATGCAGTATCTAGAGCCATGACAGAACCAGGATTCCCCATACCCTATTATTTGATGTGATACAGGAGAATTTCCTCAAAAACCATTTACTTTTTCTCATTGTTTTTTTTTTTTCATCCATAGCTTCTTCAAGTTGCCACCTGGCCTTTGACATTTTTTTCCTCCTCCTGAATGTTGGCCTGCAAGCAGCTCTTAGCAAACTAGACCTTCCTCTAATACTTTGGCCATCTCATGAGAAGACTCCCTGAATAAGACCCTGATGTTAGGAAAGTGTGAAGGCAAGACGAGAAGGGGACGGCAGAGGACGAGATGGTTGGACAGTGTCGTCGAAGCTACCAGCATGAATTTGACCCAACTCCAGGAGGCAGTGGAAGACAGGAGGGCCTGGCGTGCTCTGGTCCATGGGGTCATAAGGAGTCAGACACGACTTAACGAGTAAACAACAACAACAATTTCTTATATCTGTGCACAGTCCTCACGCGACCTTCTCAGTTAAGGCTTGTTATATTGGTAAACATTAATAAAGGGTTATTATGCTAGCTAAAAGTACATTAACCTTTTGACTCTAATGGACTCTACAGACTTTTGACTGAAACAACATTTGTCCACAAGTAATCTAAATAATACTGAAAAACTAAACATTGCATGTTTCTTCAGTTCATCTGTCAATTTTCCCCCCTTTGAAATGCCGGTAAATGGGAATTCTCAACTGTTTAGTTTCAGTTGTTGGCTAGCAACAGCAGCAACAGAGATATGTCACAGGGTTTCAGGGTTTGGGTCCTGGGACTAGGGTTTCAGAACTGAATCTCTGGGACTCCAGATCTCATGCCTGGCTATGAAAACTCAAGGGAATGAGATGTTGCTAAGGTAACAACTCAGGTTTTGAAGTTCATTCTTATGACTTCAGAACATTCCAATTAGAAATGCTCAGTGCAATTTCCTTTTTCATTAGTTCCATTATTTTGTATACTGGGGAGAAGCTGCTGCTAGAATTCACACATTAGCCTCTATATTCGTCGCAGAATCTCTACATTGCCTGCAAAATGCCTACCATTCTGCAACTGTTGCTGAAGGAGTGGCCCTGTGATATCATAAGGACACAACTCTTAAAATTCGAGCTTGCAAGCAACCCTACATACAGTATATGCGTACATATATCAGAGGTATTGAACCTTATTATACCACATTTTGTTTTTTCCAATGAAATTAGTTTTCTTCTATCTATAGACCCTCACAGTTCCGGCCTCAAAGGCCAGGAAAGATGGGAATTGCAACCCAAGCATACTGAGACCAAGCATGCTGAGAAGGTTCTGCTTTTGGAATGACTGGATTAGATGTTCTGATGAATCGTGAGACAGGAAGGAATGTCTTGTGAAAAAAAACATACTACACGTGACTAATTCAACAGTATGATTTATTTATTAAATACACATTTATAATAAAGTTGAGGAAATACATTCATTCACCATTGTTCTTAACATTTCAGGGGGAGAAAAATAGTATTACATAATTTAAAATAATTTGAGGGAAGGTTGCTATGGGGAAGGCAAAAACCCCACATTGCTTAGGAAAAATAGGAAATGTGGGTAAAATTCCTTCCCAGCCCCATCAACTGGCAGCTAACAAATGTCCATAGCAAGAAAAGCCACATAAGGGAAAGGAAAGGGGGAGGTTCTTTCACTGAACCTCGAAGCAGGAACCCTCCGTGGGGAGAGGGGGGAAACATTGCCGTTCTTCTTTCTTCTTCCCAGGTCTTGACTTCTCGAATGGTGGGGAGAGGCGGACCTATGGCAAGAACCAAAGAGTGTCAGCCTGGCTGCTCCTGCTCCTCCTCCCTTGCCATTCCAGCTG